AAAGGCTCTGTGGCTCAATCCTTACAATCCGTTCTAAGTGAAGTCACTCTCGTCGACTCACTGCAATGATCAAGTGCTAACTGCGTTGCAAGCGGTGAAAGCAAGTGCATAGTGAGTTCATTAGGCCTTTTCGCATGACCTGCACATCCTTCGCTTGATTTCAACACCCTTCTCGAGCATCCTCATTTCGCATTCGTTGTGTGATGGCTGGAGAATAATAGAAGTGATGTAATTTGCGCCGTAGCGTTGTGTCGTTGTTTGTTTCCGTTACCCATCCGCCGTGGTGAATGCAAAGGCATAGCGTCCCAGACAACAAATTGGGCCACACGTCCCTTGTCCCTCCCTCCCTCGGCAAGGATGAGAACGAGAGGACAGGAAAAGATGATCACGCAGGGTGGAGATGTGCGCATGTTGGGAACCAACCACAAATTGGATATGACAATGCATCAAAGAAGGCAACTCCGTCGTTCTTCTGCGAACAATAGCGAAATTACGCGGGGCTGATTGAGTGCAGTGGGTGGGTCTCGAGGCTATCGTTTGAAATCCATCAGGGTCCCCGTATGACGTGGCGTTTGTGTACTTATTAGCCTCGGAGATAGCCCCAGGGCAACGACGAAATGCTCAGTTTGTCTATACTCACGCAGCTGAACTTTTCATGAGATACTAGAATTCTGGGAATATCCCCCTCCATCCTTCAGTGGTCATGTACCTCTAGAAGATGCCTGCTGTTCGGTTGAAATGCAGCCGTTTCCCATGAAATTTCCGCTGCTGGGCTGGGTTACTCTATCGGAAATAATGAGGTGAGGTTCACGTCGTAACTCTAGAGCTACTATTCTCGGTGGCTGAGTGGCCGTGGAGAAGTGAAGCTTAGATGACACAACCCTGCTTCAAATTACTTGGAAGTTTCACGCATACCTGCGTAGAGAGTGGTGGCCTATTGAATTCACTGGTAGGTTGGAAGCCGGCCACCATCAAGTGAACAGAGCCTGTGGATGTTCCAAAGAACCTTGTGCGACTCGCCTCCCTCCTGACATAGCAGACAAGTGGGCGCCATCGCATTCACAGGAGGCCATCCTTCAGGAACTAAGCCCAGGAGGGAGCAGAAACTCCGGGGAAAAATTTAAAATGGTCCACGCATCCTGGAGACTCGCCTCCCCTACCTAAGACTGTGTCCCATTTTGAACAAAAAAGAAAAAGTTCTACGCGATCTCAAATGCATATACCACTATCGATGCCCATGTAGTATTGCGCCCTAGCGCCGACAAGAGTTTCAGTTGAACCATGAGGCCCCCTAAATTTTTGCAGATGAAGCTAGGTACTGACTTATATGGTTTCGCATTGTGAGAGTGCGTTCTACGGTCTGGAAAGGGAAGCTGATTCCATGGGAGCCCTTGCCCACCAATGCGCCTCCAATTTCCTTCCTATCTTCCTCCTCCTGACAAAGAGGGTCCTTTTTTCTGACGCAAGAAGAAGGTCTTTCTTTCACAAGAAGCGTTTTCAATTAGTCTAAGCGGAAGCGGTGGCACCGACAGGTGGCGTCTGCTCACGCACGCCGGTCCGCGTATCTAATTCCGCTCAAACCTAGGGAGCCTTCTATCGCTTGTTTACATCGGTACGCCTTACCAATACTAGATCCCTTTTGGGGAGTAAAAAATCGATGTGTACGTCGGTTTACCGTAAATCGTTGGTGGATGGGAGCGCATTCGATCGCTATCATGTTTTTGATTTTGGGTAGAAAGCATGGCGTATCCCAAAACGAGGACTAATAACAGCGAATGCTTTGTTCAATGCTTCCTATGCTGTTCTTCATCTATTTGACCCAATTAAACCCCCTTCTACGGCCATTTTCCTCAGAACTGCCCACTGCTCCTAAAAATTCCCTCCGAACCCCCCCCCCCTTGACGCTATACCAATTCTGGCATGGACGCGTCGTTGACGGGTGGCGAGGGGCACGGCAGGATTTCCCTTATTCGTTCAGCTCCACTCACAACAACAACAACAGCAACGACCACAACCTCGCCACAAAACAAAGACATGAAAGCGCGTCATAAAAATGAGTCTCCGTCGCGCTAATTCCCTTCGTAGCTGAAGAAGCCGTCGCTGCTAGCGGAACGAGCAAGAATGGAGCTACTAACATAGGAACAAGAGTTCAGCTACTAATGGAGCTAGTAAGAGCGTAGCTATCAACAAAAGTTCAGGGCTATATTTGTTTTGAATGAAGCATCAACCAAGCGATTCCGCTTTTAGCAATTTAATTTAAAAAGTTCAGGGTTGGTCCCGATAAGTATTTCAGGATCAGTCTTCCGGTTAAAGTATTTTAGGTATGAAATTAATTGTTGAAATTGCTGAAGTCTAGCAAGAGAACAGCTTAAAGTCATGCCCCAAGGATCACATTGGTGTGGCTCTTGTACACGAATGCGAATGTATTGGTGGAAGTGGGCCGGCAGTAAAGAAAAAGGAAAAGAATCCGTCAAAAACGCTCAGGTTAAGGGCTCACTCACCTTCCTAATCGGCTGTGCTAAAGGAATGAGAGACTAAGCGCGGAGAGGAGAGTATGGGGCGAGAGAGCGCTACAGATGAGAGATCGCCAGACAACAGCCTGATAAGAGAAAAAAGTCTGCAGCTTGGGCAGCTTACTTTGCAAGGCCCAAGCGCTCTTGTCGGTTGGTTTCCGTGCACGGGAACGCCACATTTGTGATTGTCCCTCTAGGGTCTATACTACAGACCGAAGGAAGCGTTCACACAAACTCTGCCTGAGTTGTGCCTTAAAAAACTCGTGGAGGATTTTGCACTAGCCTTGCACTGCCCCAAGGGAGCTATTCAGAATTATATCACGAACACTTTCTTTGTTTGTTTTTGTTTTTCGGCCTTTCTTACATTTGTTACTTTGCATTTTGGTGAAGTTATTGCAGTTCACCTCTCATACAGAACCTACAGAGTGCGGAAATCGGAAACCGAAAGCGTTGTCCAACAAGTAAGCACTACGGGACTTGAACAGCAGAGATGACGCTTCTGCCGTAGATTTTTTGTTTATTAGAGAAATATCGCATTTTAAAAATATGTTAACAAATAAAACAAACAAACAAAATAGATGCAAGTTAGTTCAGTCTGTCATTTCACAAAGCCCTGAGATGAACATTCAATATTCTTGATACAGTGTTTTCAAACCTCGCGGAACCAGCGGTAATCAACAATAGGAAGAACTTGTATTCGAAATTCGGCTCCTACTTCAGCATCTGTCCTTTAATTTACTGTAACCGTAGGAGTAACCTTAATCCGATGTCCGATTTTATTTGCTCACTGGTTGATTCATTTGCGTATTACTGGTTCATATTGAAGTCAATCGACAAATAACATCGTTACCGATCGCGCTTACAGATAGTTAGTGCCTTCCGCTAAGCCGAGAAACTCAAGTATCGCCCTCTTGAAGGAGGGAACGTGCAAAGTCGTTTTCGGGTTCAGAATGGCTGTTCAGAGACTCAAAGACAGTCACCAGGACGGCGATGGTGGAGCGATTTTGATGACGTCATTGGACTACAATGAACTGAACTCCTTAGCAAGCTGGGGATTTGGTAGTTGGGCCTCCCATCCCCCCCCCCTCTCTGCAAATTCGCCGCGACATCGCGGGCTGGCGGCGTCTCCTCGGCGAACCCAGCTCTGCCACGATTGAATCGTCACAGCACCCCCCGCCCCCCCAAAACAGTTCAATGACGTCCATTAAAAGGCAAAGTTAGGCCTCACTCACCAGCTCCCTTACTCCACCATATGATTCAAGGTCGCCTTTTTGTGAACATCATTCTGCCAGAATAGAATTTTATGGAATTTTAGAACATTTTTACAAAAGTTCAAAATTTTTCTTCATACTAAATTTGTCGAATTCAATGAAAATTATCGGCTTATCACTTGCTCACCCTTCCTTACAATTTCTTTTCGAGCCCCTCCATAGATCGAGAGCGCCGGAGTCCTCCGGGTTTCCTACTGCTAATAAGTTTTTTGCGTCAAGGCTAATAGCCCTCTGGGAGCATGCTCTTTATTGAAATGGTTCTAGCTGAAATGTTCAGCACAGAATAGAGACCCATCAGGCCAAATTAAGACATCAAGGGTAATTGGTTTCATAGTAGTAATTACTGAGCTTTATGGCTCAATTTAGCACGCCGGCGTTCAGGTGTGGATGCTCAAGTTCCGATTTTGGGCGATCAGCCATTGGAAGCAGCTCAAGAAACGAGTTGAGCGCCTCTGACTGGCCTCGTACATGGCGTTAACTTCGAAGAACCCCATCAACACACCCCCGGGCGGCTAAGCCTCCTAAGAGGACCCTGAGAGAGCGCTGGTTTCTCCCAGATCTTTAGGGTGAACGCCATTGGATCTTCACCCACTATTACCTGAAAGCGTGTTTCCGTTTGACAGTAGCTGAGCATTTTCGGTGAAAAAACCTCCCTAACTTTTGTAAGACGAACAAAAATGACTTTATTCCTACCTGCTTGGTTTCAGCTCTTCTGGTTGCTCCACGTCTCCGGCCACGATCGAGTTTTCGGCACGGAATCGACTTCTTGTTACGAGTAGACGGTGACATTGTACTGCTGCATCCAGCCGCTTCACGATCGGAGCTTCTTCTAAAAGTGAGAAATCGTAAAATTTCCAAAGGATTACTTAGGGGGTCACGAAACCGCTAACTTACCTCCCAAAGTTCAGGAAGCTCAGCTGACCGGATCACTTCCATGTCTACATCCAATCGAGCCTTCGAATTCGACCTGCGACGAACTGATACCACCACAGTGTGAAGGCGCCACATCGCTTCGTGTGGCTGAGCAGGTACTTTGCGATTGCGATGGTGTGCAGTACTGATCTTCGACTTCTTTAGCTGCACGGTGAATGGGTCCTGCATGCGGCTGATCCGACGTATGTGTTGAATTGGAAGTGCAAAGTGGAGCCATACGAAGTCGATCAACACGAATTCATTTGCCATAGTGAGGGGTAAGTCCTGTTGAGCAGTACATAACTTATTGAGAGCACTCTGATTCAATTCCTCTTGTGCAGGTGGTTTGGCGAGTGTGAACGGGAGACCCGAGCTGTGCTGACCGTTGACGCATGGGGTGGATTTCGGCTAACGTCGCCGTCACCGATTCACGTTCCATCGGAGCTGATGTCGTCCGGCAATCTCTCCGTGACACCCGATCGACTAATTCTGATGCGTGACGGCGATCTCGTCGGGCGACGTTACAGCGTATGGGTGCGACCTGAGTACGAGCCAGGCAGCGAGTTGGCGGACGAGTTGTCGCGTTTCTGCATTTGGCCGCTGCCTGCACAGACGTGCACCCGTGAATCGAACTGCTAGCATAAATGACAATAGTAGTTGAAGGCGACCACCTGCAATTAATCACATATATTATTACTGTAAATGGTTTGAATTTTTCTGAATAAAGCTTACAAACTATTACGAACCATTACGGTAGCCGCTCCAACGGTGAGCGGTACAACAACTAAGAGGACAGTGAGAAGAGAACTGGCAGTGATCGGAGGTAGTTCTGGAGGTGGACTACCTGAAAACAAAAATTTCAAAGAAATTGCCCACTTATCGCCTTTCGCATATATAATAAAAGTGGGCGGAGCTTCCAATGGGCGGAGCTTTCTCCGTGTAACCTATTCGTGTGTAAGATTACGTGGCGGCCCTTATTCAGTGCAATTACAGAGTCTGTCGGCGGGACGAAAGTATTCTTTGTATAGTTTTATCATAGAACTGAGTTTATGTATTCCCTATATTAACCAGAGAAAACTGTTCTCGTGATTTTCTTTTGGACGCTGAGATCGTCAGGGGCGGAGCATAGATCCACATTTCGGAGAAGAGGTTTGGAAGCTGTGAAAATTTTCGCGCTGATCCGCCTCCTGTTATAATTGTGATGCGTATTGTAATTGTAATCATAACCCGATAACACACGTAGTACAAAAGCTTCACAGAGCTCACGACAAATCGATTTGAAGTGATTCCTGCGATACGGCCTTAACGTACGGGCATTTACGCAGCTTATCGCAGGCAGACGAAAATTGTTCGTATGTTCCGTACACGATTGTTATCCGATCCTCAGTCGCATGTATTCCCAATCTAAATCGAGAACTGTAGTGAAATTCTTTTGAACGCCGAGATCGCGAGGGGCGGAGCTTAGATCCACATCTGAGGGAAGAGCTTTGGAAGCTGTTACAAGAATTGAAATTAAGGGTGCCAAACACCGTAGAGCTCGCTGGGGTGTTCCACATAAAACATTCGCATTGACTGTAAAATGAATAAACGAAGAAAAATACGAGAAATCAGAGGGGACATCCCCATCCAAAGTGCGCCGTTGGGTATCATACTTTTTTTTTCAAGGAAGGTTCGACCTGGGGTTAAACCCAGTTGTTCAACCACTAAAAACCTTCTGAAGAATAAATTGCCTCTCCATGGCAACCCGGACTTTCATGTCGAGTCTACCTTGGCAAACCGGTCATTTATCCAAATGACTACCTTCAACCATAACCCAGTGGACATAATTCTGGGTAATTATCCTTTGTTGGTCGTCATAAATCCCGTAGTGCAACGATAGTTCTACACCGTTTGAAGTTTCCCGATTGTTTCCGCGAACTCAAGCGCAGTGGAGCTTTGCTTAGCAATACACAGAGACGGTCCGGCCGCCACCGTTTATCATCTGGGCATGGCCATAAGACTACGTAATGACCCCCTTCGAGCGGAACACCGTCAAGTGTCACGTAATAATGAAAGGGCCCACGGCAGTTATTATATGTGGCGCCGAGACAAGATATGGGCGTTTTCATGAGCATGACTTCCTAGCTGACATCACATCACATTTCGGCATCACGCAAGCCATGAATGTTTCAGCGTTAAAATTTAAAACACCAGAGGAAGCGCATCCACTTCTGAAACATGGTACTAATTTCGATATTTCCTTGAGAACTTTTCAAGTGTGCCAACAAATCTGATGTGCAAGCAAGAGCATGGCGCAACATCTTATTCTCAAGGACCCAGCAGTTACTTGCCTGCCCTAGGTTCGAAGAAGCTTCTGTTGTTTTGACCGTTTAATGGGAATGTTTTCATTTCTATTTCTTCTTCTGAAGGATTTTTCAAGCGTGAATAATTTTTCAAGAGAAAATGATCTACAGTATCTCCTTAAAAGAAGAAAGAGAGAAGAAGAAAGAGACACCACTCTACCATCCGTCCGTCGATCGCACAGACGTTCCGAAGGACGCAAACGCAACGTCACTGAGCATGGTGTTCTCGCGTTGACTGCAAAACACATCTCGTTGTGAGTGATCTATAGCCAATAAATATAGGGAATATGGCGCAATACTGCGCATAAGCTGGCCACGTATCTAGCCGAACAGTTAGGGACAACGATGACATTAAAATGGGGCCGTATAGCGGCCATGCAGGACTTCTCCTGGCCGAATAGTAGGCAGATTTAGTAATGAAGATAGTGCACTAATCAGAAGACGGACCTTAAAAGCCTCGTCTGTTAACGAGTACACTCCCGCCAGTGGGTCCCATCTCGGGGATCGTGAAAAATTGTTGGTTAATTGGAAAGTAATCGCTCCAGAATGCGCCCTTTATTAAGGGTTTTCGAAGAGACTTAAAGGCATGCCTCATGGATCAAACTGGTATGGCTCTTGCACACGAATGTGAATGTATTGGTGCCGAAGTGGGCCGGCAGTAAAGAAAAAAGGAAAAGAATCCGTCGAAAACGCTCAGGTTAAGGGCTCACCTTCCTAATCGGCTGTGCTAAGGAATGAGAGACTAAGCGCGGAGAAGAGAGTATGAGGCGAGAGAACGCTACATGAGAGGGTGTCAGACAACAGGGCGAACAAATAAATGTAATTTTCGGAATATGTATGTATATTAAAACCTTTATACAAACCTTGTATGAGATCTGAGATAGGAGAAAGTGTTACAGAACGGCTGATCACAGGCACACAAATCCGACCAACGATCATCTTCGTCCCTAAAAAACCCTGAGTTAAGTTCGGGTATCAAGTACTATAAATAATCAATCCTTTTTGTCACATTTTCAGTAATACTATACAACTATGTTAGCGTCGATGTCGAGCGTCGTGAATTCGTTTTTGGTGATGGCTTAACGAAAAACAAAAGCTCCCTGTTGA